CATTTTATCTTTGTTTATTTCTTTGATCAACCTTAATTTACAACTTCGTGACATGCTTTTAACTTTTCCTCTAATATCCTCTCATCAAACAACTCATAGCCCCATGGAGATAATATATAGGATAGCAATTCTTCAGTTGAATTTTTTTGCACTTTCATTTTCTTACATTATTAATAATTAAATTAATAAAATTAATTAGCCTACAAATGAAATGAAGTCTTCGGTCTCTTTTTTTAAAAGGCAACTAAATTAAAAAAAGGGTCCAATCAATAATTGACCTTTTATGCATACATTGAGATTCTCCCTTACACACACATTGGTGCTACATCTTCAAGTCAACTAATAAATTCAAAGGATATTGATGCAATTAGAAGTCAAATTTAAGCCCTAAATGAGTCACTACGAAGGCAAGAGTAAGAAAAATTAGGGATGAGAAAGGAGTTGAGAAAAACTAGATAAATGAAGGAGTTAAGCGATACTAAAAAATAAAAAAAACTTTAATACAACATTTATGATTTTTTGCATCAAATTCTCATCCACCGCATCACCCTAACATAATAGTGAAGATGATAATGATGATATTTAGTTGTAATAATCATGATAGTATTAAGAATTGCATTATAAGTGATTATACTTTTTTTATTTATGTTTTTTTATAATATATGTGGACATAATGCAACAAAAAAAAATATTATAGTCATTTGCTTTAAAATTTTAATAGTTTATGGTTTATAAGATATCTATAAAAATTATTAGAAATTTATTTTTAATATTTTATCTATTTTTTATGATTTATTTGAATTTATATTAATTTTATGATAACAACATAAAGTTTCAAATTTTCCTATAAATCTATTTGTAAAATTAGTTGTATAGAATTTTTTTTTATAAATATTTCTTATTTTCTTAGAGAAATTTTCATAGATAAATTTGTAATAAATTTACTTGTAGACTTTCTTGCAAAGTTTCTTAGGATTTATTTATGGATTTGTTTTTTTTTTATGGAAATTATTTTGCAAACTATTTTTGTAGGAAATTATTTATAAATTTACTCCTAAAATTTGTACAAAAATTACCTGTAAATTTTATTTTTGATAAAAATAATTACTTACGAGAGATTTTTCTATGACAAAAAATTTGTAGCAAATTTTGAAAAAAAAAAAAAAATACTTTTCTGTGATTTTTTTATAGAAAAGTTTGTGAAAAAAAACTCTAAAATTCTAGTGGTTTATCCCACAAGGAGAGTAAATATTGCTTACTATTAGCTTGGATAACAACGAAGAAAAGAGAGAAAGATTGAGGGACTTAATTAAAATATCAATCAAATAATTTATTGGAAAAAAAAAAGAGAGAGAACATAGAATAGTTTAATATGAAGTTTTACATGAATTAAGTGAAAATCAATCTTCACGTGCTTTATCTTTTCACAAAAGAAAACTTTTGGAACTATGTATCGAGCATAATCATTGTCTACAACAAGGAAAGAGTGATGAATAGGACTCGGAATCATGTAGCAAATATGTTAATTACTAGAGCTTGTGATTATGGCTGCTAAATCTTGATATTCCACCTCAGATGATGATTTAGTTAATTGCCTTTGGAATTTTTCTGAAACCTAGAAAATCTACCAAAAAATGCAATAACGAGAAAGAGAATGACAATTAATTAGGGCAAGAAACCCAATCTTAGTCGCGAATAGGGTATTGGGCTTGCTATTAACGAGTAACTACTGTTTAGAGTTAGTTAAGGGTTGTATCCACCAAAAACATATAAACCCAGGGGTGTGGACCAAAACTATCAAGGGTTTGCTGTTTACCTGCTATAATTAATTGGACTTTAGAGAGATTTTGTGTTCTTGCCGATGGTTGAAAGGCTATTTTATCCAAAATACTTTTTTTAAAATTTGTATAAAACTACATATAATAAAAAATTAATAAATAATATTATATTAAACTCTAATTTTTAATAACACTTTCTATCTATAAATTTTATTATATGTAATGTTGTAAAGATTAAAGAAACCATATTCTAAATTTTCCATTATTTACATCATAGAGTTTGTCTTTTAGCTAATATTTCTTTAAGCAATTGGGTCTCATTTCAAAGCTTATGCCATTATTTAATATGCACACATGTGGCAGCAATGCTACCTGCTTAGTTGAGAAAATGTCTGTAATTAAACATGTGGCCCTCACTGGTTATTGCTTTGGTGGCAATGCAAGTTCTGTATACATATCTCTTCTTACCTTTTTAGCCCTTAGATTGGTATGAAACTTGATTAGAGCCCTCTACTGTAGCTACAAAAATCTCGTGAATATAAGGAAACGCATTACGGAATATGGACGAAGCTTCTGTTATTGCCACTCACGTTACTTTTTGCTGTACAGTTTGTGTCAACGTAGCATACTTCTTTAGTCAGTTTGTTTTTAAAGTGAAAAAATAAAATAAAAATCTATTTATTATTGATTTAATTTAAAATCAACATTATTCAAAATTAAAAAGTGAAAATATACTCACTTTAAATAAACTATTGTACCCAATCTCTCTTTATATATATATGTTTAAATATTAATTAAAAATTATTGTTTTAATATAAAAGATAAAAGAAAAAGACAATAAAATGGTGCACTTTAATTGAAGGTGCTAGAATTACTAAATTAGTGAGCATATTGTTACCTTTTCGAAAAAATGTGTTATGTTGACAAGCCGAAACAATAAAACCCCACATGTTTTCTGTCATTTTCCTTGCTTTGTGACTTCTGAAGTTATAGTTTTACGTGATTCAGATGCTCAAATGCTTTCGTAATAATCATGTTCGTACTATGTGCTTATTCTACAGCCATTTATTTGTAAATTAATAAAATTTTCTATTATTCGAGTATTTTAAATTTAAATAAATTTATTAAAAATAATAAATGTTTCATATTTTAAAAAAGAAATAAAATGTTTAAGTTTTCTGTTTTGTAGGTATAAATTATTTGAATTAAAATGTATAGGTATTATTAATATAATGTGTCAAAATTCATACAATAAAATTAAATTGATATTGACTAAAATAATAACCTTCAAATCTAATTTATCTTTAAAAACTTTTAATTTGATAAGATGTGGCATGATGTAAATTTTAAATTTGAATTAAATAAATTTAGGTAATAATTTTTAAAAATAAATAAATTATGAGCAATAAAAAATTAGATAATCGACAAAAATTCTTGGAATTTTTTTTTATTAAAAAGTTCTTGGAATTTAATGTTATATATATATATATCATGACAACATCCATCAAAGTAATTAATTGATTTTTCAATTTTAATGTATTTTTATGAAATAAATTTGGGCCATTATTCTTTTACTTTGAAATATTTTTTATTGCATTTTATGACTTTTAAATTTATTCTTATAAAATTTTTATTTTTATTTTTAATTATTAATTAATTTTAAAAACATTTCATTTTCTAATTCTCAATTTTCTCAATTCATTAATAATTTTTATTTTATATTAAATTTTTTTGCTTAATTCTATAATACCTATTATTTCAAATTATCTTTTTTAAATTTCAAAAATTTCCCTTCTTTCTAATTTTTAAATTATTTGCATATTTATTTATGTAAACTAATTATTCATTTTATATAAAAACATTATTTTATGATTAAAGCATTCGGTAGTATATTTTCTATAAGAAAAATCATAAATACATTATTAGAAAAATGAGTTAGAATAATTTGTTATGTCAGATTAGTCAATTACTCAATATAATATTCAAATACTGTTAGTCCTTTTTCTTTCCTAACAGAAAAAGAAGTAAGAGTCATTGGTATGCGTTTTATTGGACTTGTGTTTCTCATGACAACCGTTTTTCACTGTTGTTTTCTGGAATTGATACATTCACTAAGAACTTGTTTGTGCTTAATTTAGGTAATTTCTTTACAAAATTAATTTTAAATTATTAAATATAACTAAATACATACTTATATAATCTCAATCATAATTAAATATACTTTAAAATATATTTTTTATGAAAAAAACAATGATTAAGTTTTTAATACCAATACAAACAGGAGCTAACACAACGATTCAATGAACTAGAATCGGAGAGCTTATATATAATGCTACCCAGGACCACACCAATGGATTAATTAAAAACTATCGAAACAGAGTAAAGAAATTTCAGACGTCGCTGTCATGGCACCATCTTTTATTTACGCACTCTGTAAATGATAAACAACCCTACTGTTTCTACAGGAAATTCAGATAAACCAAACACCGAAAACGAAAGGCACATAAATAACTCATTGACATGATAATATATACTTACATGTAATATAATTATAGTAATTGTATTAATTTGAAAATAAATAAAATGTATGAGCTATTAGTTTTACGAAAACATTGTTAGTTTTATAAAAAGAAAAGATGGTAAAAACTAGAAACAGCCCGAAAACTAAATTGATCTAAGAATAGCAATAGGATGGATAGTGATGAAAGATGAACACAGAAGCATTCGAAACCTTACATCACGCACGACGTTCTCACCCTCCAACCGTTCATTTTATGGAAAGTCGTAACCCACACCACAACCCAACCAAAGATGAAAAAGATTACAATAAGAGCAAAACGAAGACGGCGCGCGGAGGGAATGCAAGGCAATGGAAGGAGAAGAGCACGTGCGCACGTGACGTCTCTAATCTCTGCCTTCATAATATTTGGTCTGGTTTGGGAGTGTGTGAGCAGTGTGGGGCATATTCGGCTTTGTCTGCATAAGAAAAGCATGACATCACAAGTGTGATGACAGTTTCAAACTCTCTCCTCACACAACCATTCCTTCCTCTATCGTCCCTACACGTGTCGAATCATCCTCCCTTCATTGCCACGTGTCTCAAAATCACGGGCATCCCTTTGGTACATTTAACTTACCCAACCCTACTCTTCCCTTCGTCTAAACTCGAATCCCCCTTTTCCCCTCAACCTTATTTTGATTGACATGAAATGATTCAATCGTAGTGCTTCCCTCTCTTTTCGTTCAACGTTCATTCACCCATAATAAAGACCCTCAAAAAAGTTTTGCTGTATATGCAGTAGAGGGAGTGAGTTGAAGAGTGGTGATGATGTATAACATGGATTCACCTTCAGGATCTCACTCTCAGCACCCACAGCTGCCTCCTGGGTTTCGTTTCCACCCCACAGATGAAGAACTAGTGGTTCACTATCTCAAGAGAAAAGCAGATTCTGCTCCTCTTCCCGTTGCCATCATCGCTGATGTTGATCTCTACAAGTTCGACCCATGGGAGCTCCCAAGTATGCAACTTCATCGCACCCCACCTTTTCTTTTTCTCCTTTTCAAAACTTGGAATATGTGTGTATGCAACATTTTAACTTAATTTTTTCTTTGTTTTTGTTTTTGCTGTGTTTTTCTGTTTTTCAGGTAAGGCAGCGTTTGGTGAGCAAGAGTGGTATTTTTTCAGTCCGAGGGATAGGAAATACCCAAATGGGGCGAGGCCAAACAGGGCTGCTACATCTGGGTATTGGAAAGCTACCGGAACTGACAAGCCTATACTTGCATCTCATGGACACCACAAGGTTGGAGTCAAGAAAGCACTTGTTTTCTATGGTGGGAAGCCTCCGAAAGGGGTTAAAACCAATTGGATCATGCACGAGTATAGGCTTGTTGATAATTCCTCAAATTCTACCTCAAAACCACCACCTCTGGCTCCTCATCATGCGCACAGTAACAAAAAGAGTTCATTAAGGGTATGCATGCCATCTATATGATTTATATCCTATAACTGTTCTGTCAATTAAATAACTAAAAATTTACACTATATTATATTATTGAATACGATCATTTTTATTTTTTATGTTATACGCATACATAAAAAGTTATAAATAATTTTGTTTTCGCCAAAAGTTATAAATATATAAAACAATTTTATTTTATATAATCTAATTGTTTTTTGTTGAACTAATTGATTTTCTCAAAACAATTTTGTTTGGCAGCTTGACGATTGGGTTTTGTGCCGAATATACAAGAAAAGCAACAGTACCATCAGCGTGCCGAGAGTACCCATGGTGGATCAAGACAGGGAGGTTTCTACGGAGAGTACTATGTTACAAACTTTGTCAACTTTGTCAATGGCTAATAATAATACACATCAGAATTCCAAATCCACGTCTTCGAGAAGCGCAAGTTATGGTCCTCTAGGACTCGAAAATGATGATACTTTTTTTGATGGATTCTTAGCAGCTGATCAGAGCGTGCAAGATGGTTGTGATTCCCGCCAAGTGTCTTCAAACGCGAGGGGAAACTTCCCTGTGAAACAAGCACTTTCATCACAGTTTTGGAATGACACAGGCTCATCTTCTTCAAGTAGGCGATTCCATTGTGATCTTAGTAATGGGAGCAGCACTGCTGAGGAAAATAACTCCTTTTATTCTCTGCTGGGCCAACTTCCACACAACGCAACGTTTCACCCAAATGGGCTTCTTGGCCATGTTGGTGATGGTGTTTTGAGGCAACAAGTTCAACTTCAACTTCCAAGCATAAATTGGAAAGCTTAAAGTGCCTTTGGATTCACGGGAAAATGATCATGGATCTAGGATGCTCCTAGTTATAGTTTCTACGTCAGATTCACATTTATAGATTTTTCAACGTGTTTCCAAATACACTGTAGTGTAATTAGATACCAGCTTCAATAATGTACGTATATATAGCTGCCATTGTAGGTACGTTAAGTTTTAGGTTGAGTTTTATTATTTTGCTATATATGAAAAACACAAGAGGGAGAGAGAGATTGTAACTGTTCGCGTGTATGTGTGACTTTTGTCATTGTCATTGAAGCTTGTACTAAATTAGATGATTCACTAGAACAGTACTATTGTTCTATATCCACAACACTACTATACGATAGTTGAGTCCTTAGCGCATATCAAGTAGGGTTTTCTGGTTGGCCAATTAATAGGAAACAACATGAGTAGATTTCATTAGGAAGATAATCAAAGTCCACTTTGATATAATTTGTACGATTTTAATGAGGTTATGTCGGTAAAAGATGCCTTTCTTGTCACTGTAAGTATATTAACAACAACCAAGCCTATGCAAAAGATATTTTATATGCAAAATGCTAAATAATACGGATTCGTTTTGGACGAACAGTACACGATATCATACTCTGAATTCCACTAAAATTACTCTTCTTTTTACTTTTTTGAATTTATTATTCAATTAATAAGATATAAATGAACTCTTTTGAGCAATTTTCGTATTTATATATGCGAAGAAAATGAGATGGATTAAGGAGTGAGAAGATAAAATATAAACGAGACTAGTTGAATAGTTTATTGACTTATTCCGTATAAGAGAAACCGGGTGACATGGTGCCAGTATTTAATTTCTGGTTTTGTTTATGACCACTAATCAAGTCACTTGAAATGTCTGCAATGGAAAAAGTATGCATTTATATGATATCTGATAAGGAGCTAGCTAAGCGTCTTACTTTCTAATCATCTCCATCAGAACATGATACTTAATATATAAGAGAAATATATGGGAAAGAAAATTTAAAATTCTTATAACACTCTGCACGTTGAAGTTTGATATAGCATGTCCAAAAGTATAAAGTCAACTGCATAAAGTTGGTGGGATCATGACAATATAAAATTACAATATATAGCGTGGAAATGAGATTATGATTTTTTTTGTTCCTGTTTTTCTTTTTCATGAAAATTAATATTTTAAGAAATATTTTTTTTAAAAATTAGTATGTTTTATTTAAGATTACAAAAAGCATTTAATCATTTTAAGAAATTACTTTGAATAATTTCTAAAAACACTGAGAGCCTCCCAATGTCATCCACATTATGCATTATGATTCATATCATTAAATATTGATCGTTAATTTTTGTTATCAAAATGGTACACATTAAATCTAAACAGGTCCTAAAATTATAAATATCTTTCAAAATATAAAATACATTTTATATATAACTAAATGACAGATAATTTTTACTTTACAGAAAAGCTTTTGATAAATCAATTTTTTTACATAATCATTAAATTATATTTTAAAAAAATTAAACCAGCTAGTCCTACATTCCATCTTGTAAGAGTACTGAAAAAAGTATTTATATAATATCTTTATAATTAAACTTTTTCAAGTTATGATTTCGATTTTAGAAACTTTTAATATGTATTTATGTGTGAAAATTATTAAATTAAATGGGAACGACGTTTTAATGAGTAGATCATTTGGACAGTTATAATGAACCATAATTCTGTCATTATTGTCACACAATCGTGTCAGATGCACATCATATAACATATTCTATAAAGTTATGTTAAAATGTAAGTCTTTTTCTCAACCACCAAAAAGCAAAGTGTGATCAGTTCTCCCTTTCCAGTGCAAATAACAAAGCTTTTGTTTTTCTCTCTTGAAGTAAAAGGCTGGGTAATATTTAAACCAAACTGTTAAAGCAATATAAATGTTAGTAAGACAGTGTACAATACATTTTCTTTAACAAACTTTTTATTATAATTGATTAAAATTTATTAAAAATATAAAAATTATGTAAATTTTTTTTAACTTTTAAATTAATATTTTTCTCTCATATTTTTATAATTTTTAATAAATTTTAGCTAATAATAAAAAATATATTGCTAACATTCCTGTTAAAACAAATTGATATGCCTCAAGAAGTTCTGACTTATTGAATCGAGCCTATGATGTATTAGAAAATTTTTTTATCTTATAACTTGTTTATCGTTATTGTTATCATAAGGTTAACTTCTATCTAGTACTTGTTTATACTGCTACAGTATTTTATTTTTTACAATTTTTTTAAACTTGTCTGTGCAGTAATAATTTACTTTTGTCTGAATCAAATTAGTAAATAATTATTCGAGACTGAGAAAGAGAATCTGCATAACAACACTTGAAAATTAAATACGTTAATTTCAAGTTAGAAAAACAAAAGTAAATAAAGAAAAAACAATATGTGGGTAGTATGAAGCCAAATATACGAAAAAAGATTATTATAATATATGACAGGAAAGAGAAAGATTTGCTCCTTACTTTGCTATCGAATGACGTCTCATTATTCCGAGTCACAATCACGTATTTGATTTAATTGATTGTACGCAAGGATTAGATAAATCAAAGCCAAACCTTCACCATGAAATTTTCCCTGCTTAGCTCTAATGTATCGCTTTGGTATTGGCTGCTCAGAAAGCACCAAACTTAGTTGTCGTGTTATCTCTTTCGTTGGAATTCCAGTATGTCTCTAATGTATCGACATGTCATTGGCTATTAAGAACAAATTTACATTTAATAGAGAGCAGTACCTCAAAACTCAGTGAAAACAACAGTGTCCACTTAGAGACAACTGTTTCAATACCCACAGCTAGCTCATTTTTTGAACGTAAAAATTACTTCAGCCATGTATTCAGTTCAGTTATACCACTGGAAATATAAAAGGAAAACAATTAAAAGGGATGCTTTATAAATTAACCAAGACTAGAATATATATATATATATATTTATTGTCAAGAGTGAAACAAAAGAAGAACTGAACTATGACATTTTGTAATTTTCGAGGCGTTGAACGGTACCTTTGAATTTGCTAGCTCGAGTATGCTCACGAGAGTTCTAGTAAAAGTTTATTCGATATGCTATTGTGTATATAATCATTGCTAAAACATGTGAAAAATATTACACAGTGTCGCAATTAGGAATAATTTTTTAATTCTTTCTTTATATTATAATTTTTTATTTATTAAAATTATTGGTATAAATAAGATATATACTTTATGTTTTATCACCGCATTATATATTTGTAAAACCTTTTAATTAATACCGATTGGTATTTTATTACCTTTTATCTCTTTTTTTTCTTTCCATATCTAAAACTTCACAAGTTTAAATATGAACCTATTAGTATTAGAGTGAGATCATCTTACAAAGAAAAGATGTGAAAATAAAGTAAGTTTGTTAATAGCAAAATAGTGATAAAACAAGTCACAAAGATGACATTAGTTTGTTACCATGTTGAAATATGGTGGGGATTTAAGTATATAAAGAAGAGAAGAGAAATAAAAGAGAATGAAACACTGATTTCTTAAATAAGATGTAATAGGTATAATGTATGATGATAAAAACATAAATCGCTATCTTCTATTTATATAAGTAATGCTATCTAGATAAGAAAACAAATCGCAATATAATAAAACTTTAAGAAACTAGAAAAATCAATCTTAAAAATATTCTAAAATATAATTAAGATACTATTTAACAAATTTTTTTATGAAAATACTATTTAACAAATTAAACTAAGGAAATAGCTAAAGACTTCTTGTATATCATTAATAAAAATATATTTATTTCTTATTTAATATTATATAAATAAAAAAATAGCATCACTCTTCCCAAAAGCAAGCAATCCCTTTTGCTAGATATTATTGTTCCTATGCTATTAAAGTAGGTTAATTGAGAAATAAGTGTCGACTCTGACAGTACCCACGTTATCAAAAGAGGCCAGATCAAAGCTTAAAACTTTATAAAATAAAATGCATAAGTTATAAAAAAATTTGCGTATTCATTTATTTATAACATGTTCGACCAATATGTGTGAAGTTCGGTTTTTTTTAAAACGGTATAAACTTTGGGTTTGAGCATGATATTTGTATGAGGCCCGGGTTATATGCAGACAAGCCCAAGAAATATACATTATTGTAAATTGTAGACAGCAAATCCATGAATAAAAGGAAAGCCTGAAGACAATAATTTAGCGCTATCTACTGTGTGACCTTTTTGGGCAATATTGTGATAGAAATTATTTTTAAGAGTAAAACTCATAAATTAGTTTCATATTATTTTTTTATATTTTAAATTATTTTATTAATTCTTAACTTAAGTTAACGTAATATTTAAAAATTATTAATTTTTGTTAATAGTCATTTTCAGTGACACATCATATGTTAAAATAATATTATTTTATGCAAAATTAAAGACTAATTTAATTAAGTTTTATCAAGATTGGTAATGTTATTTTTAACATTTTGTCTCTCTTAAATTCTTTGACCTTCTCAAACACCCACACTGTCTCTTCTCTCTCATTCATTCTCTCATCCTCTTCAACCACTGTAAAGACCTAAAATATAAGAACTTTATCCAATTGTTTAGAATTTGCAAACTGCGAGTCAAAGCCACCAACTCCACACCCCAATAATCCTACCTTTATCATCGGCCACTATAGGTTTTCCAAACAGATATTTCTTTATCACAAATTGAATGTACATATTCACCCACACTCTTTTCACAACTGAAACATACACAAACTAACCATATACTGTATTAGGTCTCCTTCCTTGAATATGAACACATCCACCATCATTCACTTTGTTGAAACAATCGTTAGACCATTTCATTGCAATTGATCTAAAATGCAAAGTACCTCTACATTTGTAGACATCTCTGCAATTGCATTCCAATTCAAGGTTAAATCCATTGAAAAAAGTGATAAATGTAATTGTAATAACAAGTTACATTAGTAACTCCAACGTTGTAATTCAAAGAAGATAAGAGAAAGAGACGGAGAGGGGAGGTAGTGAGGGATTTAGAGTAGATGATGGTATAGGAAGTAGAGCTAGTAGAAAGTGACAATCGTAAACAAAAACTTTATGAGTGAGAAAAAAGAAACTTCAATAATAACAAAAATTAGTTAAATTAAATTTTTACTTTGCATGAAATGACGCTTTTTTAAAATTTAATGTGTCACTCAACGTGACGTATGAATAAAATTTAACAATTTTTTTAATTGTTAATTATTATAGGAGGATTTATTTATTAAAAGTTTATTAGACTAACAAGATAATTTTAAAAATAAAAAATTGAATATACATAATTGCTATTATATTAATTTAATTTATGGGTTACTCAACTTACTCTATTTTAAAATTATTTGCACCAAATCGTAGGAAGTTATAGCATAGATACCAAGACGACATTTTTTATTTTTATCGTTGGGTTTGTTGAAAAATTGGAATGCAACTGAAAAGGCTGAATTTTATTCAAGCATGAAAAGACACGTTTCCGCTTAAGCAATTGACTTTGTATGTAAAACATATTCCTACTCCCCTCTCCCTAAACCCAACCCAATGAATTGCGGCTGTGGAACTATTAGAAGTGCCTTCTATTGAAAGTAAAAACAAACGTGAACTTGTAGACCTAAAAATCGTACTTCATCTGTTCTTTTAAAAAACTGTTTTTTATTTGATATTTTAGAAATTAAAGTAAATCAAACCACTAACACCTTTATTTGCAATATTAATAGTTCTTATTGTGGTGGTGGTTGGGCGATTCAACGAAAATAGTGGTGGTTCCTTGGCTTCATTTTGCCAACAACAATGGAGTTCGCCCCCATCCCTCCGCTCTAATCACTTCGAATCCCCAATGGTCAAAATATTTAGCGACTGTTGGTATCCAGAATTTTTTAATTTTTTCAGGAATATTTCTTAAAAAGTTTTTTTATCTATATTTAATATAAGATACAAAAAAATATTTTTATGTATGTAAAATTTATGAAAAACTTAAATTACAAAAAAATTAAAATTTTTATTTTTTTATCTTCATAAATAGTTATCCTTAACTTTTTTAAAATATAAAATTTTTAGATAAAAATATTTCTTTTTATTCTACTTCACTTTACCAATTTTAAATTATTTTTTTTACTTTTTTTTTATTTTTATTTCACTGTCTCTCATGCTCCCTCCTTTATAACTGCTTTAATTTTACTTTTTAGTAAATTTTTATTTTTATTTTTGTTTATTTTTATCTTTTAATTATCATTATTTGTTTGTACTACTTTACTTATTTTTTTTTCTTTTTAATTTACCTGTCATCATTATTTGTAGAGTTTTATATAACTTTTATTTTAGTTAAGGGTATTTTTGTAAATATCATTATTTACAAAGTTCTATATGACTTTTATTTAAATTAAAAATATTTTTATATAAAGTTTTTTAGTACCATACATGAGAATAAAAAAAAGTAAAAAAAGATATAAATGTGTTTACTTAAAAATCAAACATATAATAAGTTATCCAAAAAATATTTTCTTAAAAATCTCACTAAAAAAGATTCATGCAATAAATGTGTTTACTCCATAAGCAATATACGAGACATTGTATGGTGATTTATTTGAATTTAGTAGTTTTTAATATTTTTATGTATTATATTAAGTTATTTAAAAAAATAAATTTAAAAATCCTTATAACTTTAATTAATCTAAATTAAATTAAATTTTAATATATCATATATAATAATAATAAAATATTTGGCTGTTAACAAAAATCATTAATAATATAAACTGAATTTTGACGAACGGTTGTATTAATGATCCATTGATAATTTTTTTCATTTTCTATCTTTTATTAATTTTATAATTTATTATTTAGTCATTAAAATTCAAAAATATAATACTTAAGTTTTGTTTAAATTAAAATTTATTTATTTAAGTGAATATTTAAATATTTTGTGTGGTTTAAATAAATTAATAATTACATAAATAATATTTATTTAATAAGCTATTTTTTTATAACATTTATTTAAAAAATATTTGCCTAAATCATTATAACGGTTTAAAAAAATTCATTTGAGTATATATCATTTATTTGTTAATTCATGTTAGTCGAGTCCATCGTAATGATTTTATTGGTCTTTGTTTGTGTTAAAAATATTTGTATTATACAGTAAGAACTTATGCAAGAAAGGACTAATTTATTGTGCAATGTTTCATGACAAAAACACTTTCGGTTTGAAAAATAAAAATTTACAAATATTTTTTTAAAATAAAACAATTTTATTTAAATCTAGTAAATATTTTTAATTATTAATTAAACTTAAAAAATTAAAATAAAGACACGTTTTATTATTAAAATAAACTTAAATAATATTTTTGTAAAATTATTATAAAAATATTATTCACATCTCGTCTTTAAAAATAAAAAATATGTTTGATTTATTTTTTATAAATAATTTTTAGATTTAAAAATAAATTATAATACAACTTAAAATATTAAAAGTATATTTATTTTTCTTTTTAAAAATAATTTTATTTTAAAAAAATAATAATATAAATTTGTATTATATTTTAATTTTTAAAAAATTATTTTTAAAAAGAAAAACAACATGCTCAAACTTTTTACTTTTCATAAAACTTAGTTTTACTTAATTTAGCCTTTGGGGAGCAGAAACATAAATTGGGGTTGGAAGGGAAGAAAGTGACTAGAAGAAAGTGACTAGAAGAAAGAATGTGCAGCCTGGAGAAGCGTGGGAACGTGTGGTTCCTAACCCTCACAGGCGACAACCAACACCGCCTCAACCCCACTCTCATCCAATCCATTCTCTTGACCCTTTCAAAACTCTCTTCTCAATCCACACCTGGCTCCGTCCTCATCACCACCGCACACGGCAAGTACTTCTCCACCGGCTTCGACCTCGCCTGGGCACGCGGCACCGCCTCCGACTCCGCCGCTGCCGTCGATCGCCTCCACTTTATGGTTGACTCACTCAAGCCTGTCGCTGCGGCGCTCATGTCCCTCCCGATGCCGACCATCGCCGCCGTCAACGGCCACGCCTCCGCCGCCGGGTTCTTGCTCGCGATCTGCCACGACTATGTCCTCATGAGGAACGACAACGCCGTGCTGTACATGCCGGAGGTGCACCTGGCGCTGCCGCTGCCGGAGTACTTCGCCGTTGTGATGAGGTCGAAGATCAGGTCGGCGACGGCGCTGCGCGACGTGCTGCTTAGCGGCGCCAAGGTGACGGCGGCGGAGGCGGTGAAGATGGGAATCGTGGATTCGGCGCACGATAGCGCGGAGAGAACGGTGGATGCTGCGATGCGCCTTGGGGAACGGTTGGCAGAAAGGAAGTGGGAGGGTGAAGTGTATGCAGAAATAAGGAAGAGTTTGTATCCGGAAGCATGTGGCGTTTTGGGATTGGCCCAGAAAGCATTAGCATCTAAGATCTGAATCCGAAATTCATTTGTCATTTTTAGGGTATGTTTTCTATATCCTTTCCTATCAATTAGAACTGAGAATGGTTTTACAATAAAACAAACATTTTCCTCTTTAATTTCTTATTATCTATGTTAAGGCTCCGTTATTAAAAGTAGTGAAAGTGAAGGTTTAATTTATAATTGAAAGTTTATAATTTATTAATTATATTAAAGTTGGTTGATAAAATTATCATTTTTTTTTTTTTTGCATTAATAGACAGGGTTAACAAACTACATAATCCCAATAAGCATCATATCTAAGAAAGGGAACAAGATTCAACTTGTAAGCACACTTATTAGCTTCTCATACCTACGAGAAACATGAAGAATTTTACAAAATTGAATCAACATATTAATTTCAGTTTCTAATTCTTAACAATATTAGACTTAGCAACTGAATTACTAGTTTAGAAATCATCCCCACTGGCAGTTTATCTAAATTTTGATCTTTAATTAAATGAAAGATCTAAAAGGAAGGCCCATGATTCAGCCATAATAGCTGAACAAGGACCTAAATTGTTGCAAAAATTTACGAGAAACTCTTCATGTTCATTTCCAATCAAGCCTCAAGTTGCTTTCTTTTACTCCTTACAAAGAGAGTCATCTACATTTAACTTCAGATTTTTACTCCAAAGAGTGTTATCTAATAATAGATTCTCTCTTAGATAATTTGTAAATATGATTAATATTAAAACCAAAATTAGAATTGATATAATTCACAAAACTCTTAATTTATAAAAATAAGGAGTTACTGTCAATGGCATTATTAGAAGAAGAAAAAATACGAGCATTCCTATTATTCCATAACATCTAGATAAAGACTAAAACATAATATTCCAATGTTAAAATCCCTTTCATAAGCAAAGCAACAAACATGTAGTATATGCACAACAAATTCATTTGTTAAATTACGGTAGGAACAAATATCACAATTAAACGTTCCTTTTTTTTATTATTATTTCTTTATTCATTAATCAGTAATTTGTCATGAGCTACATTCTAAAGAAATATTTGAATTTTTTTAAGGACCTGGCCCCTTCTAAATAAGCCTAAAAATGGGCTCAAAACCAACATTATCAATGTCATAATTTCTAATAATATCATAGTCAGATTTCAAAGAAAACACACCGTTTGAAGAAGGATATCAACTAGTTATATCAGATTTAGTATTGAATTTACATAGAATAATGTTAGAAATCATATCACAAACATCGAAAAAAACAAAAAGTTTAATTTTAAACCATTGATCTTAGAATCTAATGATCTTTCCAAAATTTAACTTAAAGACCATCCTTAATATCCCGAAACAGATCCTTGAAGTGAAATTCCAAACTTAAGAGATAACTCTCCAAATCATAGAAATATTTTTCTTAATGATACCATTAAAGTTTGAATCAATTTTGTATTTAGCTCTTAAGATTTAAACCTAAAGCAAATTAGAAATTTTCAAAAACCTCCAACCAAGTTTAACCATGTAAGCCTTATTGATTGTATACAAATTCCTAAATTCCAGACCCTTCTCACTTTTAGGGGAGCAAATATTCTTTTAAGATATTAAGTGACATTTCTTATTTTCTAAAATAGAACCTCAAAATAAAGTTATTTACATATTTTATTAATATCTTCACAAACTCCGGTAGAAATAAGGTGAGTTTGTATAATGTGATTAGAAATAGACATAATGCTTGCTTGAACTAAAATAACTTTACAAACAAAAGAAAAGGATTTAGTTTTCCAATTAGACAAATCTATTTTAATTTCATTAATCAAGCTATGATAATTACTTTTAGAATCTCCAGAACTAAATATGAGAGAAACCAAATTAAACATATATATATATATATATGACATCGTTGAAGAAGTTTTGTAACATCCTGAATTTTGTAATAATATTTTAATTACTATATATGTATCTATATAGGGTTTTCCATGTGTTTGTATGATTTATTGTGTGATGATAATGTGTATTGGATGATGGTTTAAATGCATGAGGTATATATATGCGTATAGGTGAAATAAATGGATGATAAATATGTTTGTATATGATTGGACTAGATTGATTGAGCTGAGAAATAGGTTAAGTGTGTAATACTGGGGTATTCTCGCTGTAGCGAGAGGACCATGGGAGGAAGGCGTGAAACTGTCACCTTCTCGTTGTACTGAGAGGTCCCTCGCTACAGCGACAAAGTGATAGTTTAGAGTGTAACACCTTAAATTTAATTTCAATAAATAAGGAATTTTGTAACTTTTGAAATAATAAAATTTTCATTTTTAATCCAAATTCTATCAAGCATTTCAAATAAAGAAAATGGGTTACAAATTTTATCAAACAGTGACTTATTCAAATACAACACTTTTCAAATTAATATCCTAAGTCCTATAGCAGTTCTATCCACCCCTTCAGTGAGTCAGGTGCTGATCGTCTTGATTACCTGAAAAATGAATGTAAATGTGAGTATTCTACACTACCAAAAAATAATCAAATATAAAGTTTCACCTCTAACTCATTTCTAATGCATTCATACAGATATAACATGAACAATATCGTTATCTGATACATTTCAATTTAATATCAATGCACTCATGGCACCAATCAATCATGCACACTCGCTCAAGGCACGCCGTCACGCTCACTGTGGCATTGTGATCACATATTTTTGACTATAAATGGTCTACTCCCGCCTCACGGATACCACGTGGGTAGTCACGGGTCGCTCAGCAAAGATAGTGGTCAGAAGTCTAGTCAGGAATAGAGTGTGTGGCCCGTGGTGCACCCGTTCCGTAGTCGGTGTCACCACCACTCCCTCTTCTCCAAGGTATTTCTACCATTCTTATCTTTCATACTCTCAGTGTATCATTAAACCATTCACAACACATTATAATGACGCTAATATGCCTATTCACACATATTCCATTCACGCATGCGATGATCATACTTACACGCGGCACACAGCCCACATTGCATTCAAATACATGGCACTAGGCCCATATTCATTTCACATTACATGACACATAGCCAATATTCATTTATATTATACGGTCCTCGGGCTCACATTTATTCACAATATTCATTCTATCATACAACATCTAGCATACAATTTACATTCATCCATTTCGGGTAACACACATAATGTTTACATATCAAAGCACATATTCCACATTACATTTCTCAATCAACTCATTCTCTGCATGTTTTCTACCTTTTAACTCAGCCACAACTTCATATTCAATCAATTACACATAAAAAGAGTAGGGTAAAATCTCCTCTTACCTTGGATTGAAAACTCACACGTTAAATCCACCAAGAAGTGTTTCTCTTGCTGCAGCAACACGCTCTCACGTTGCAGTGAAAATCAGCGAAAATCTCAGACGAAACTGCATCTTGGTTTCTGCAGAATCTTGTTACAGCGAGATTGCACCCAGAAATGCATTCCCAACTGTCGCTCTGTCACTACAGCAAGAAGATGACAGTTTTGGTCCTTCCTTCCAAGGCTCTCTCGCTGCAGGGAGGACAACCCATAATTACACCTTGCACTTAGGCATTTAGCTCATTTTCAGCCCAACCAATCATGTATACACATATATATACACATATTCACAACATATATCTAAAAATACACACATATATATACATTTAGATTTATATAATTAATAATAATTAATATTACAAAATTTGGAGCGTTACATGGGGTGCAATTCTGGGTGCAGTCTCGCTGTAGCGAGATTTTGCAAAAATCAGATTGCAATTCTCTATAAGATTTTTGCTTTAGCGAGAGAGCAAGAATATCTCGCTGAAACGAGAATATTGCGACACCTTATGTATTTAAGAGGTTTATGGTTAGAAAAATGCATTTATTGTCATTTTCTCTTTGTTCTCTCTCGTCATTTCTCTCAATCCTTAGCATTTTTCACCAATTAAATCGCCCCTTAAGTCATTGGTGCCCTAGATTGAAGGATTGGAATCGTGTTGGAACGTTTAGAGGTGAGTATTTTGAGTTGGAGTTTTCAGTTTTTACTCTTTCTTCATCCTTCTTGATTTCTCATGGATTATTCCATGTATTTAGGATAAGAACTCGTGTGAGAGGTGTTTCTATCGTTAATTTCGTGGTGAGTCTTCACTCTAAGGTAAGGGCGAGTAAATCCCAAATCCTAACCTCTCTTGAATAGTTAAAATGGGAAAATCATAACTATTTTGATAATTATTTAAATGCAATTTGTAATAAAGACTGTAAATAAAAATTGTTTTGAAGGAACACTACGTTTTCAGTAAGCAAACATCGTTTGGGGGTACTTGGAATGATACCAAACCTTAGGATAGATGACTCTACTGTTGTTATTAAGAAATGTGAGTGATGGATTGTACGACTGGATTGAGTCTGGATGTGTCCGACTTCCAACACATTGTATTGATTGTGTGATGATTTTATGTGTTGGATGAATATTTGATGATGATTGAGGTATGTTGGTATTGGTTGAACTATGTTATAATGGAAAGTGTTAAAGTATTGTGAATGAACAAGATAGTTGGTAGTTTCATGAATTGCCGAATGTTGTGATGTTTGAAGCATAATATATTTAGGTTGTTTGATAATTGAATATGCCAAATAAGTGAAACTATATTATTAATATAAGTGTTTGACTATTTTTAAATAAAGAAAATGTTTTCTGTGTGATGTGATCACGATGCCACAGTGAGTGTGACTAAGTGCAGTGAGCACATGTGTGAATGAATTAAATGAAATGCTGAAAAAAGTGATTATAATACGGAAGTCAAAATAGATGAATGGATGTGATTGCAATACAGGTATTGTGGTACGACTCAAAAGGGTGTCCTCATAATATATGTATTATAATACACTAAATTATTTGGTCAAGACTCACGTATTATGACACGTATCCTATAAAAGGGTGTGGAAAGGATTGAGAAATGGTAGTGGTGAGTTTAGATAGCTATAATGATACAATTGAGGTATAGAGTCTGGAGAAGATTTGAAAAATCTTAGGGAAATGAGAGTGGTGAATGTTCAGTGTGAACGAGTGCACAATGATTTGCTGAAAATAAAAGTATTCACAGGCCACACACTTGTATCCTGACGAGACTCCTGACTATGTCTTTGTTAGAAGGGGCTGGGTCGGCACACGTGTATCCATGTTGTTGTGGTTAACCGGCGGCTATATAAACTGTGAAGTCTTCAAGGGATCCTAGGGGCATTAAATATGAAAGTGAAATTAATGTAAAAGTGTGATGTGTATGAAGTAGTGTAAGAGTCATACGGTTATAATATATGTATTGTGACATGTCAGTAGATGTTGTTGCGATATATGTGTTGTAATAAATCGACGGGTGCGATTAAGACACATATATTATGACATATCGATTGACGTGATATAATACATGTATTATGACGTATTGATCAGTAAAAGATGTATGATTTAAAGTGATGAACATGATTGACTATTTGTTTTGTGTGTGCTTCTTTGTGATGACAACTTGGATGATTTGAGGGTTAATGTTAATTTAATCTATGTTAAATAATATTCATAGTATATTATATACATGTAAGTTCTTTGCTTATATTAAACTAGAGATTTAGTGGGGCAGGAGATAATTATCCTTACTAATATTTTCAGATAATGAAAGTGAAGAAAAGAAGATGTCTGGTCCGTCCTAAGATCATAATCCAAGGATATTGGAAGGAAGATTGCTCCGTAAGAACTAAGCCATTTGAGAAATTGTATTGTTTTATCAAATTATAATTTGGGTTGACCAAAGTTTGTAAATGACTTTAATGTTAGATTTCAGAATTTAAATCCTTGAGCAGATTTCGATTGTAAAAAATATTTTGAAAATGTTCTTGATGGAAATTTAAAATTTATGTATTCAAAATGAACTGAATGATTTGTTAGAAGTAAAGTTGAGTTTTATTTGATTATTTTAAAGTTTCAAAGTTTTACCCTTAGAAGCTTGAATTTTGGAATCTTATGAAATTTTCATAAGAAAATATAAAATTGTCTTTATTCTATTATTAACTTCATGAATAGAAATGAATCTATTTCTATCTGCCATAAAATTTGTTTATTGAACAAAGAAAATGAAGGCGTTACAAGTTTCTTTAATAAGATCTCAAAGAGTATGTTGACCTTCCATCCCTAATGATTATGTATTATATTTTCAAATACATGAATTTGACTACACTCATAGTAATGATCCTACCACTTTTGGAGACGTCACCTCTAGCTCTTGTGCTTCTTATTGGCTAAATGTCATGCACGATAAATATGAGTTTTGTAGAGTTACCAATTGGATGTAAACAAATCATATGTAAATGGGTCTTTAAGATCAAGTATAATCTAGATGGTAAAGATGAGAGGTACAAGGCCATACTTGTAGCTAAAATATATAGTCAAAGAGAATGTATAATGTATTGATTATGAGAAAAAAAATTTTGCTAGTCTTTACTAATGATGCTTTTCATGTTGTTATAGCCTTAATAACTCACTTTTACTTGGAACTTCACCAAATGAATGTCAAAACAACTTTTCTGAATGAAGATTTAGTTAAGGATGTCTACATGGTATAGCCAAAGGATTTTGCTAACGAAGGCAACAAATACATGGTTTGTAAACTATGAAAATTCATTTATGGGTTGAAATAAGTTTCTAGGAAATGATATTTAAAATTTGATCAAGTAGTAATTTCTCTTGGTTTCAAGGAATATAGCTTATATCAATTCCTTTACTTGAAAACTAGATGGAGTTATTTTGTTATTTGTCTTGTATGTTGATGATATTCTCCTCGCAAACAATTGTATTAAACTTTTGATAGAGACAAAATTGATGTTGAGTAACCACTTTGATATGAAAGACCTTGTGAGATGCTTCAGTAGTATAAGACATTCAAATTTATCATAATAGGTCGTGTGACACTCTAGGATTGTCTCAAAAAGGATATATTGGAAAAATCATAAAATGGTTCAACATGTATTATTGCTCTCCATGTGCTACACTTGTTCAAAAGGATAATCTCTCAAAGTCCTCAAGATGATAATGAAAAAAATGAGAGAAGTAAAGTCTCATATGCTTTTGTTATTGGTAGATTGATATATGGTCACATTTGTATTCGTCTCAATATTGCTTTTGCTATTTATGTTTTAAGGAGATACTTAAGCGACTTAAGTTTGGGTAATTAGAAAGCCATTGAAAAGGTCATCAAATATTTGTAGGGCATAAAAGACTATTAATGAAAAGATTGTCGCAACCTCTATCAAAATACAAGTAAAATTAATGTAGTACTGGGTTGAATTAACCTAGGTTATAATCTTGTGAACATTGTATATGAGATCATATATCAAACATGAGATGTGCATTCAGTTCAGAAAACAAAAGTGGTGGGGGGTGGGGTTTGTAACTTTTAGGTTATTAAACATTCAAATGAAAAATTTAAGTTGAGAGAATCAATTAACAAAATGTATTAACCCCTAACTCATCCATATTGGTTCAATTATAAATCCACTAAAAATTAGTAATTCATCCATTCCTAGAATTTAGTTAATTAGAACAAGCGTTAATTAACTCTAAACTCTCACGCAAGATTAAGCAAATCACATGTGCTCTAATTTCTTATCCTTAGAATTAAACAAACTTAGGACCCAACTTAAGATTAAGCAAACTGAGTTTTGAAACCCTTGTTAAGAAAGAAGTTTAGATTGATTAAGCAACAATCTCTATTCAATTCCTAACTCAATTTTCAAGAAATTAGGAAAAATAAAATTCAATGGGAAGGAAATTCGTGTTGATAATCACATCAAGATTTCAAGAATCATTATCAACTTACTAGGGATTAATAAGCAAAAACAAGGAAAAATGAAATCGTGGTAGTCACCCAAAGTTTTGACCTAATCCTATGCAAAGTGTGTAATATGCAAATATAAATAAAAATGGAAAAAAAAGATCCCTATCTTATAAGTGGAATCTATTTATAGTAAAGATAACGCTTGTTAGAGTAATTACTATGAGTAGTAAAAGTGGTTACGCACAGGTCCATTGCATTTTTTTCCTCTCTAGAGTGATCATTTTTACTACTTTCACTAGTGAAAGTAATTACGCACAACGTGGGTAGTTACTATGACTACTGGGAATAAACACGCGCAACTTCGTTAGTCAGATAAGCTTGCGCGAAATCACTATGGATAGTGAAAGTGATTACACATAGCTTCACTTCTCTGCAATGCTCTTTGTAGTGTTCATTATTAATGGTGAAAGTAAACACGCACATACTTGCCTCTTAAAAATGGCTCTAAAGTGATTACTTTCATTGTTGGAAGTGATTACTTTCATTTGGCCTTTGGATGGAGCTTGTTGGAGTGATTACTTTAGACACTGGGAGTAAGTACTATCACCCAATTTTCTCTTAAGAGCTCAAATCTTATGGATTATTGTCCAAAAATTCCTGTACAATTATTTTACTTAGCAAAAATTGCAAAAAATAATTATAAAATATGCAAATTGAACCAAAATTAAGAAAATTATAATTAATAACATAATTAAAATTTTTATAGTATTTACATTTTCTAACTACATTTTTTATTAAAAATATATTAAAAAGGTAAGTAAAATATTTACAAAATGCATTATCATATATGAATTTGATCAACTTCACGTTGTTGGCTATTTTGATTTTAATTTTATAAGTTTCCTTAATGATAAAAAAATAAAATAAAATTTACTTATAGCAATATATTTATGATGGCAACACAAGTTATCTCTTGGAAGAGTGTCAAACAAACTCTTACAATTACTTCTATCATGTAGCTACTTGTCATACTATGTGGCTTAAATTCTTGATTTTTGACTTTCACATTGTTGAAATTATATTTAGCTCACTTGTGATAAGTTATAATAATATTATTACTATTTAATTCTTTCAAAATCATTTCTTCTTGCACAAAGCATTTTAAACTTAAATACTTATTTGTTAGAGAAAAAATTTAGAAGTTTCAGACTCGCATTGAGCACATTATTATAAAAAACATGTTAACAAATCCACTAACTAAGGCCATGAATGTTAAAAAAATTTAGATTTATGTAACTCATATAGGTATCGTTAAATCCTTTGATATGTTAGATTAGTAGAAATTTAAATTATAATTTATTCTTTTTTTAGATATGTATGAATTAATATCACTTATATTATTACATCTCTTATATCATTTAAGATACTTAGAGCACCTTTAATTTTACATATTTTATGAAACATTAGCAGATGATGTGTGGATACTTTATTTTATAATATCAATGCTTATATTTTTTAAATTATTAGTTAGTATGTACTTTGATCATAGTTTTTAATTATGAATTAATATTAATTAATTATTTATATTATATTTTTAAATTATTAATATCAATTATGATATTATTTATTAAATTTATTTATGATCAATTAATAAATATATTATTATTAGACTTTAATAAGAATAATTTGTGATAAATTAAATTATTCAATTTTTTTAATATTTGACATATCAAGTGAACTTAGTAATTATCACCTCCTTAAACACAGTATACTTTTTTTCTCTTTCTCTTAAACTCGATAGATAAAGAATAGTTTTCTATTCTCTTGATATTAAATTTAATAATGAAAGACTCTAATAATTTGATAACAAGTACAAACATTTAATTTTATTCTTTAATAAATTAAAAAAGATATATTATAATTTGTATTCGTGAGTTGTGAAGTTAATATTGTAATCATGAAATAATTTAACAAAGAAGTGGTGGTTTGGTTGTGTTGATGTTTTCTTCTTTCTACTCACATTGCTATTTGTGATGTGGTAGTGGATTTGTGGCTCTGGTATTGATGTGTTCTGGTGGAGTTCTAAACAAATTCATTATGTTGCAAACAGTGACCAAGCGAATGACCATTTTTAGTGGTTGGTAGGGGCTCAAGAAAATGGTGACAATGATTGTAGTTGTAAATTGCTTTTAACCCACACGAAAATTTGCAGCTTTGCAAAACTTACCACCCGAGGCACAACTCGGAAGGAAGCATATGTGTGTACTCCAATGATTAGTTTTGCGTCAATTTTGGATTTTGAGACGCGAATCTAACCAGCGTCCATCCACATGGGAATCCAGAGTATTTATGGATGAGCTTGACAACGACAGTCAAGTCATACTTTTTAAACTCGTGTTTCATACTTTTTCATCATATTTTTTAACCTTGGTTATAATAAATACTTTTTTATTTGATTTCTTTTGATGTTTACTTTATGGCGATGTATAAGAAACAATAAATAATTTCATTATATTTTAATAAAAATACTTTTATTTAAAGAAATAATTTAATCTTAAATTTTTGAAATAGGTCAAAAATTTTGAAATATAAATAAATAAAGAAACAGGTGGCGTATCAATACATGAGTTTTGTCTTTTTGGTTTATGGATAATAGGATAACTGAATAGAAAGAAAAGCATAAGAAGGAGTATAATTGCCCAATCTGTGGTGTGAAGGGGAACAGGTAGCGTGTCAATACATGAGCTAACCTATCAACTGGTCCAAGATGTATAATTGCCCGAATGTAGGTAACCAAGGTTTTGAATTGGATTGCCATTATAGACTAATGTGACTGATGCAATTATAATTGCAATGGCCAGATGATTTTGGAGATAAAGAACCTTAATAATGTAACTTCAATTTCAGACTTTAAACTTAAGGACACCAATAAAGACTTTGATTCCAATAAGGAATGAAAATGGCTTCTGGTTTCTGCTGTGAAGAGTGAAGAGTGAAGGTGTTGGGAAACTTCCAGCTCTGCGTTGCTTTCAACAAGAAAAATGTTGTCTATACGTGCAAGTCACTGCAGAAGGGTGGAGTCCATGTCAGTCAAGTTGTTTGATGGAAGTCGTATTCACCAGCCGTGTGCCAAACAG